ATTTGGAGAATCTTCTCAGGGGCTGAATTCCATCCTCGCGTTCCAGGGCGGTGGGCTTTCTCTACACGTGGGGCTCGGAGTGTCGCGATCGAAAAGTCGCAAGATCTGCGGCCTTCCTAAGCTGCGTGCCTCCAAGCTTGTTCCACATCGCGTGCATAGGCATAGGTGCTGCACGAACTCGATACACCGAACGTTTGACAGTGACCAGCAGGAACCAAATAAGTGTCATCTGACTCTGGTACAGGATTCCAGTCGCAGGTGCCCTGTACAAGCAAGTACGTTTACTCCTCACTCTAAATCCTAAACCCAGCGCTGGATGCAAAGTGTGAAAGCCTTCTGCTACACTGCTTGAGACTTCAGGCGGACGAGAAAGGTGCTCAAAAGCCCCAGAAACCCTAAAGAAAGTCATGGGATCTGTTTTTTTGTTTCATCCTTCCGGCAGTCTGGCTGAGGGTGGACGTGGTCGAAATCCTACTTCCGTTCCTACGGCTGGCTGAAGCAAGTCACTCCAAAAGGCCGCCTCGTACGAATCAACAACGCAACACCTTGGGCTAAAGATTTCGGGCTTTAAAGGATTAGGGCTTTTGGGGTTCAGCGTATAGAGTTTGGTAGGGTTTTAGGGTTGAGGGCGGTAGAAAACCCGCAACACCTTGGGCCAATGATGTGGGGCTTAAGGGCTTGGGCTTGAGGGTTTATGGCTAAAGCGCGAGCTTTAGCTGTCTGAATGATTGCCAATACAAATCCTTCGAGCTTCTGAAAATAGTCAAACTACAATATCAAGTCATTCCGGCCCCTGGATTAGGGCTTGTACCCCTTATAGGAACCCTTATTAAAGGAACCCTATGGGGACCCTTGTAGGAACCCTTGTAGCATCCCTTCGAGGGGTCCGTTCGTGCATGCCGACCTTGGAGGGCTTTTTTTTCTTTTTTACCCTAAACCCTAAACCCTAAACCCTAAACCCTAAACCCTAAACCCTAAACCCTGAACCCTAAACCGAATCTCAAGTTTCTTGGAGATTTCGGGTTTAGGGTTTGCGGTTACTTAGGGTTGAAGGGTGGCAGGGCTTAAGGGGTTTTAGGCTTTCGGGTTTAGGGCTTGAGGGTTTGAGGGTTTAAGGTCGTGGTGCTCTCATGAAGTTTTGAGCTTTGCAGGCGCCAAGCCAGAGAAGCCCGAACCCTAAACCCTGAACCTTGCTGTAAACCCTTAACTTTTGTACCGTGAACCCTCAACCCCAAAACCCCGAAACCGCTCAACGCCATGTCCGACAAGCAAATACACAGGTTAAAGAACAGTAACAATAATGATAATGATAACATATCGACTAATGACTAAGGATTGAAAAAGGAAAAAACCCTAAACCCTACACCCTATATTCTTCTTTTGAGACGTCCTATGACGCCCCGGGCCTTGAAGCAGAAGCTCAGGTCCTGAAAGCAAAATTTTGGGGTTTAGGGTTTAGGGGTTTAGGGGGTTTTAGGAGGGCTTTATAGCGGTTTTAGGAGTTTAGGGGTTTAGGGATTTCGGAAAAAAGGCTTTAGGGTTGGAGTTGTCCTTGCAGGTGACTATTGCATCGGAGTGAAAGGCACCATGGGCCCAGAGCCGAGAGCTTTAGCGGATGCACTATAGGGTTTAGGATTTAGGGTCTTTTTCGTGATGCTGGTTTCCTGACACCGGCGCGAGGCTATGACCCAAACCGCTGTTGGATGTAGGCCCCTCCGTGGGTTAGGAGGAGACTCGGATCTTGAGCGACGTTGAACCCCAACAGCCATATGACTAGAAGGCAAGCTCGGGAATTCATGTTTTAACACATGGCTCCTCGGGGTTTAGCTGGGGTTTAGGGGTTTGGGGTGAAGGGTTCCCGATCATAAAAAGCGCATCAGACCTAAGCCCAGAGCCCGGCATCGTGGTCCTCAACCTGAAACCCCGAAACACCTTCACCCCATACCGAAATACCTTAATCCGTAAATTTGGAACCCCCAAACCCGACAACCTCAACTAACAACATGGGATAGTTAGGTGAAGGGGTTGTCAGCTGGACGTTGAGGGTTGGGAGGTTACTTTTCCACTGGGTGCTTGACAATGAGCACTGCACTTTTGGTGTGAGCCCTCAACCCTAAACCCTAAACCTCAAACCCCAAACCCTAAACCCAAAACCCTACATCCTGTTCTCTGAAGCTCTTCCGAGGCAAAAAGTCTGGGGAGGCGGTCGTCGCAGAAAGGCCAGGGTTGAAGCTTTGGGGTTTCTTCAAGATTTGGGGTTTTAAAGTTTCCTTAGGGTTTTTGTTTCCGAGGTTTAGGGATCTGTTTAGATTTTGGTTTTGAAGGTTTGGTTTCCTTCAGGGTTTTTGTTTGCGAGGTTTAGGGATTCGAGGATTTTCGGTTTCGCGATTTTGAGGGATTGGCACTGGGCAGCCTCAACATCTAAGACCCTGAGGATTGAGCAGTGGAGCTACAACGTAAACGCGAAACCCTAAACCCTAAACCCTGAGGATTCATACATCTACAACTGGACCTCGGGCTGAACAGCCCCAGTTCTATCAAGGGTTTAGGGTTTGCGGTTTAGGGTTTAGCGACTTTCACTTGAGGAGTCTCGAAGATTCCCTAAGCACCAGCAGGCTCTTCAACCTCGGAACCCTTCAGCCTCAATCTGAAACCTAAAGTAATATAGGGGCTGTAATAATTACTAACATTCTTTTGGGGGTTCAGTTGTTAAAACACGCTTCCCGGT